CTGCATCCCAAACCGCACCACCCCAGGAACCCAGAAGCCTGCTGTTGGGTCTGAGAGTGGTGACCGTGGTCAGTCAAGTTCAGATGAGGTCATTTCATATCTGGTCTGCAATGGTCAGAACTCATCACAACAGGCCCAGGGTTTAAATGTGAAGCTGATAATTAGTGGTCAGGAACTTTTTCAATGGCTTGCTGTTGTCTGTAGCCCCACCTATTCATGTGCTTTGTCTTGCAGTGGTTCAAACAGATTAGGGATGAGAATGGACAGAGAAAAAGGAGAATTAGGCTGTCTGAAAGACAGATGGAGGCAGATAGTATGAGAGAAGAGAAAATATGGACGGCGGGAGCGAAAGGGAATGAGGCAGAAAGAAAGACGGAGAGTGAGAACACAGCAGGGGGAGAGTGCAGGGCAGAGTGTAGCCAGGTTGAGACCACATCTTTCCTCTGCCTCACTACCTATATGAACCATCAATCAGCAAAGAGAACAAGGAAAGATCAACAAAAATAGTCCATCAGGGACCACAGCACACCGTACCATCGCATCACTCACTGACAAAAGCCCACAGCCTTCCATCCATCAAGCAACTCTATTCTCTCACTTCTAACTTCCTGCTATCGCTCCATCTATCCCCCGATTCTTTCCCTCTCCTGCTCCAGATTCTTTTTTTATTTTCCTCTTGTTTTGCCTATTCATCACCGTCGCTATGGTTGATGTTAGAAAGTCATTTTTGAGTCATTTATATCTTCTTCAAGTCATTACACCTCAACCTCAAAATCAAAACTCAGTGGAGGTCTTCTGGCAGACACACTGCAAAAGCTGGTGATGAAAGAGAACACAAGATGTTTGAGGTCACATCTGAGAAAGTTAAACTGAAACACCACAGACCGTTCTTTGTAAACACAGACATGTTGCCACATCGCAAAATGAGCATTAAAGGCGTGCTGCTACTAACACGTCTGTTGGCATTTAGTGAGGAACAAATCTCAAATGTTATATTACTGTAATATTTATGTGCCTGATTCAGACTTTGACTTAAGCGCCTTGAACCTGCTTCAGGTCTAGATTTCCCCTGTGTGGCTAAATGACCACCTGCAAAATGCTCGACTCAAGTGAGGAGAATGTAAATCAAAGCATACTGACCTTCACAATGTGAAAACCTTAACTAATATCTGCCAAAGACATTAAATACAAAGTGATTTGTTGCATTAAAAAAATGAAGGTAATAACTCAGATTAAGGATTTAGAGTAACCGCAAAAGAAGACAGACAGTAATAGGTCACACTGAGAATGCCAAAAAATTATTTGTGCTAGGACTCTCTGTATGTCAAGTATTTCCACATGAATCTCTGTAATACCTTTTAACCAGTGAGCCACAGCACACAGGGCCTACGTTTTGCTGAAAGTGAGTAGCAGGATCCAACAGAGAGAAGGAGCAGGAACACAATAGTAACGTCGAAGCAGGGTAGCAAATGAAGACGCACAGGCTCAAAAAACTCCACAGCTAGAATCTTTCTTGTCATTCCATGTATACAGTACACGTACGTGCTCTTCGTTGCTAAAATGACAATAACCATGCACTGCATTAACCATATGTGTATGTATGCCAAAATTTCACTTATGAAAAAATAAAGCCTCTTTTTGTCATATATATAGTATAGTATGCATGCATAAGTTATATGCATTTACTGTTATTTACTGTTATGCATGGCTTGAGGATGGTTATGTGGCTCTACAACACAACCCACAACACCAACTCACAGTTTTGCATTATTTATATATATATTTTTGTTTTGTTTTGTTTACATACTATGCAAACATGGTCTTCTTGAGCAAATAAAACCTGATTCTGAAGGGATGTTACTTTGTCCTGGAATCACAAAATCAGATCAGACAACAAAAGACAGCAAAAACCCATTTTGCCCATGTACAGTAACTCTAAATCAATGTGCACCTTAGCACATCATCACAGGTAGGGATAGCTAAAACCAATAAGCAGGCCCACATGCCTCTTATAGTTTAATGTTAATATTCAAAACTATGTTCTCAAAGTAAACTAAACAAAGTCAAAGCACATGCAAGCCCCTTTTCATCTGGGGTTGTGGCCTGGGCCTTTGTCGCTGGCAGGTTAAATATGCAGGAAGGTCTCTGATAGGTTACCTGATCTGCTGGTGTATAGTTACAGCCCTGCATTGTCCTGATCGGGGCAGGAAAGACACATACACATACTGTATTAAAGGGTTACGTTTCCACAGACATGAGCAGCAGGATCACAATGCTGCACACACTCATTATTTTCCACATTTTCCAGTTATCTGGAGACGTATTCAATCACGCCCATTTAGAAGCTGTCCTTAACTTTGACTGACAAATAAATACACTTCCATTTTCTCATTCCCTACTCACAGTGCTTGCTCTGTTTGGGGACCGGTCCCTTTTTAGTCCCATCCTGATGTGAATTGCTTTTAGAGACAAATGTCTGTGAGATGAAGCTGCTCCTCAGGTCTGGGAGACACCAGTCTGTCTCAGGGGGAGTGGACTACTGTACCAATCAGTGTCATTCATCATGAGACCCACCTGGCGCACACACACACACACATACATATGATGGGCCAGTAGTCCCAGTAGTAGGAAATCTTGGGCTCTTGAGGAATTTTAAATGAGACGTAGAAATAAACTGCTCAAGGGAGATGAAGTAATAATATGAGTGGATGGAAGGAATGAGGTGAGAAGGGAGATCTTGTGAGAATGGCTGTGCTTTCGAGCTGAATGATTGACAGACAGTAAAGGAATGCAGGGCCATGGCTGGCTTCAAGCGCACTCAATATCTTTACTCATCCTCTGGTTTGCCCACTTAGTCCACGAAACCCTAGCCTTTCCTAAGCGGGGGAAAATGCCACTTCAATAGCAGGAAAAAAACGACTTGAGACTGGAGATGAGAGTCCAGCAGTCAGCACTGACAGTGTATGTGTTTGTGTGTGTGTGTGTGTGTGTGTGTGTGTGTTTGAGGTGATCAAGACTGTCGGATCTGATTACAGCCCGCTGCAGTAGCCTATGAGAAATGTAGAAGATAGACTACAGAGCCCAGTGATGTGCCCAGTGTTGTGCCCAGTGTTAGGAGAATTACAGTCAATTATATATAATTCCCCTGTCATGCACCTACATGTTAATGTACAAACATATATATATATATATATATATATATATATATATATATCTGTGTTATATTAACAGACACAGATACAAACACACCACCTGTCTACTCATGGGCATCATTTTCTTTTCAGCTTTGGCAGAGACACAACAAATCAGCAACAAGAATGCTATGTTTTAATGGCATGATATGACATGTGACCCTTTGGCACTTAAATTGACATCCTGACCTGTATTTGGAGAGAGATATGCTTCAGCTGTGATTTGCACTGTAGCAGTAACGTTGGGTTGCGCTCATACCCTTTTACTGAATAATGTGTCCACATGTAATGTGTTGCCAATTGAAGTTTGGACAGTTTGCATTGGCTGTATGACCAGCCTTAGACATCTATGTTACAGTGCATCATTGCTAATAGTTGCCCTCTACTCAATATAAATACAGTTAGAAAATATTAGCCATGGTGAGAGGTTTTAGCAAGTCAGATGACTAAATAGCTGACCATAATGTGTCGAAAGTGTGAACAAAAGAGACAAGGAATTTGGCAGATAAATCATAAATTACAGGGGGTGACATTTTTACCAGTCTCACCACAAAGTTACACCTATGGCAAAAGGACACACATGCACACAAACCCATTTCTTTCCATGCCATTTCAGTAGGACACACAAACAAAAACATCTACACACACAAAACCACCCACTGAAAACTAATTCCTTTAAGTATGATGTATTCAGCTAACTGCGAGGGCCAGAATTCCTTGCACATGTATGGACAATTAGGCCTAATTTTGGCCCAAATTGCTTCCTGTAATGATGAGTGGACATAGTTAGCAGGCTGCTCGCAACTGCCTAACACAAAGAGATCTAAAGTATCAGTTCCAAGTCTAGAGAGTGATGGAGAAAAATGCTAAATGCTCTCCGCCTCCGCCCCCCACCCCACACACATACACACCTCCATTGCTCTTCATTCAGCCCGCCTCCATCGCTAACAGCAGTGATAAAATCATTCGAACCACAGCGTTTAGAAACTTCAAAGATGAAAAAGAAAAAGCTGCCAGATTTCTCCAGCCTTCTGACTGACCCACCCACACATACAAGCCCACTTGTGGACTAAAGGAGCCACACGCATAGACATTTTTTCCACCCACCTAAATGTCCATTAGAGAAACAGAAACAGAGAGAAACCGAGGTTGAGCAACAGGATTATGTACACATTTTCTTTTAGATCTCTGATGTTTTGTATCTGAGAACAGATGCATTGTATGGCTTGCACATGTGTGGTTATGATGACCTCTGTCATCTCATATGTGTTTGTGCATGCAAGATGGTCATAAAGGCTATTTCTCCAAGATCAGTGCATATTGATTATCATCACTGTAAATGTGCCAGTGTTATCCAAACTGCTAATTTTCTTCCTGGACTGCAAAAACCTGTTGTTTTTAATGAATTAGCAAAACATAAAAGCAAGCAAACAAAGGACTAAAAGCCAAAAAGGATGAGTATAACAGGAAACACAACAAAAGGGAATCAACTTATTAATAGCTGTAATACCACAAAAAACATACGTACAGTTGTTAAAACAACCGTAACATATTTCAGCCCTTCCTACTAATTTTGATTTACAGACATCTTCACTTTCAGACAGCCTCATCCATCTGACACTGTATTTTTACAAGTGGTTTCCAGGAAGCTGGGTTAGCTCAGTGCATCATGTGTGGAGTGTTTGCATCTATGTGGGTGTATTTGTATGTGTTTATATGTGTGGATTTTGTACATCTGTCCCTGTATGTGTGTGTGTGTGTGTGTGTGTGTGTGTGTGTGTGTGTGTGTGTGTGCGTGTGTATGCTGACCTCTGTTTGCAGCGTATTGGCGCGTTGCTCCTTAGCGCTGAGCGACTCCTTTAGCACCTCGATGTGTTGCTTGCAGTCTGAGTTCTGATTGGTCAGTGTTTCTAGTTTGGTCTGCAGGGCCTGCATCTCTGACTCCTTCCTGTTCAGCTCCTGCTTCAGCGTCTCTATCTGACAATCACAGAAACACAGCCACACATTTGTTATGAAAACCTTTTTAATCATCATTGAGTGAATTGATATACTTGCAGACAACAGAAACTTTCAAAGTGAGAAGAATATTTTTTTTCTCAAGCAAGCACACATGCACATGCACAAACCACATACACATCTCCTGCACAAACACATCAATCAATCATGGGTTGCTGTTGTATATTACTGAATTTGACCCCACACTTTCAAAGCAAACAAGAGTTTTGAATGCAGACATTGCTTTGAATGCAGAAATAAGCTTAAACATGCTGTTTAATATAGGAGTGGGTAATATGGATTATTAATTAATTAATAGCATGATAGCTACCTCATAAATTCAAAATCACATCGTAAACAATGTAAATTCTTCATTAACACATAAAAATAAAAATAAAATATAAAAATATTTGTCATTCTGTGACACGTTTAGTTAAAAATACATTTTTGATAATTTATCATTTAGACATGAAACTGCAAACTATAATATCTAAATATGTCTAATGTGTCATGATCTGATTTATTTGGAGAAACAATACATGACTATATTGAATTATCACCCAGCCCTACATTATCTGTCTTCACTCAGGGGAGTCCCAGGCCTACTGTCTACTCTTTGGACACACCAAGCCAAACAGCCAAAGGGTGACAAATACATGCAGGCAGCTGTCTCAGTTATGGGGACCAATATTACACTCACATAGCTGACAGATTACAGTTTTAAGGAAGGTCATGCGGAACAGGACAGAAAGCCACAGAGGAAATCAAATGCACTAACAGAGGGAGGTTTCTGTGCTGAGGCTAGCTATGTGCAGAAGATTGTCATCTGTCTACTGGTGCCAAAATTGCACAAAGCTGATTCGAAAGAGAGATTTCTCTAATTGTGTGAGCAGGGTTCACCTCATAACAGGAGGATTCTGACTGGACCAGAGCTTGGCCAATCAACCCTCACTCACAGAAAGAAAGAGCAGAAGAGAGCAGGGAAGAGGGGGACTGAATAATAGGAGACGTTGGGGGCCAAGTGAGATGGATTCAAAAAGAGACAGTGTGAGACATGATCGGAGAGGTGAGAATTGGAGAGAGGATAGCAAGACAGGGAAAGAAAAAGGGAGTGGACTAAAAATAATATGATAAAGAAAATGAATAAAATAAATGAGAGAGGAGAGAGACTCATGAGAGGGGTACTTCTGCTTGTTCTGTGATCCAGGGCTGTTGGGTGGGGAGGAGGAAGTTGGGAGCTTTTCTGATGGAAGACACACATGGAGACATGGCCTGCTCCTACAGTGACACAAAGACAAGAAAGACAGCAAGCCACTAAACTACAGCACACAGCCAGATGGGAAACTTAAGAACCGTTTTCCTAGCTGTCTCCTCCACAGTCCTCCACAGACTCCTCAACCACACAGCTGAGGCTTCAGAACGTTACACTCGGTGAAGTTCTGCTACGATTATCTGGATAAATAAATGAACCTGCTCTAATGCCTACTTATCATACTTGAACACATTTTCAAGTTCTCGGAAGCTGCTTTCTTGTGTTTGAGTAAATCAAAGCCAAAAGAGGAAACCAGAGAGGACAGGGATGCTGTCCTCGCTGGTTTCTCTTATCACCGTCTCACCTCAACACCAGTCGCCACTACTGCTGAAAGAGAGGGACCCCAAACACTTCAAGGATATAGAATGAATCTGTGTGCCTGTGCATATCCATGTGCATGGTGTCTTTCTGTGTTACGCAGAAAGATGAGACATGGGAGAGCGAGCCAGGGCCATCGCTGTGATGCATATCATCCCAGGTCAGTATGGGTGAGGAGAGAGCTACTTCCTCTGTCGTTGTAAGCTCACATTCATCTGTCAGGGCCCCATTCATAAAAACATCTCTTTTATGATTGCATCAGGAACTTCCCCGATGCAATGACAAATGGGCCCGACAAAGAGCACCATTAATGAACCAAAGAGAAACATTTTCACATGGAGCGCTACTCATGGGCCTCAGCCATCATGGACACTCAGCAAGAAACTCTGTGAAACTTGAAACTGCATTTATTTTTTTTGACATGGCTCCTGTACATATGCTCATGTACTTGTTCCAATGTGTGCATGTCAGTCTGTGCACTGCTTGTGTCCCAATGAATAAACCAGTATACGGCCTGGGACAGAGAAATGTTAGTCAGGCCTTTCTAAAGGTCTTCCTGCCAGCTAAAGGTAGGATAGTAAGCAGACACGGTGCACTGTAAGCCGATAGGGCTTGAGTTTGCTCCCACAGAACTGCCATCAGTCACAGATAGGAGAGCAGCAAAATGCTTGGTCATCACACAGGCAAAGTAGATAAGACACACAAGCATTTCATGGGGAAAAAAAGAAAGAAAAAAGAAAACTCTTTATAGAACCTCTCTGTAAATATGAAATAACAAATATGTTTATAAGTGTAGGAGTTCTTGGTCTCCATGCAACACGGGAGGCTGATATAAAGCTGCCAAAAGACACAACATACTGTAAAATGCAGTTTAGCTTTAAGATTTCTCCACATATTTGCTTGCTTCTCCATGAGTATGAAATGGTGACATGCAACATGCACATAACAGGTTCTCACACAGTTGTAATTGATTCTTTAAGGCAAACATGCATCACAGTCAGGTCATCCACAGTGAAGTTGTCTCGGGTGACATGCAGAGACATTCTACCTTTGTCTTCATGAATTTAGAATGGCTCTTGTAGACCTCCACCTGCTTGAGCTCATCCTGCCTGTCGTCAGGGTGCAGCAGGCCGCTGGTCTTTAACATCTGGACCTCATCCTCTAAGTCTCTGATGTTCCTCTCCAGAGAAGAGATCTTGGTGTCCTGCACCAGCAACAGTAGGCAGGCAAAGAGTCAGCGAAGATCTGACTTTGTATATTAGGCTCTGAACTTTAATAAGGGCTTACCTGTCTCACTATTGTTTAGATAACAATCTACCTATTGATCTATCAATTTATCTCTCTATAATGTCATGCAAAAAAGTACAAATACAAGGAGAGAGCAGGTTAACAAAAAAATCATCTGTCACAGAATCTGTTCACATGAGAAGTGAGAGAAAGAGCTGTGCAAAGAATGCAAAAAGAGAGCTTAAGGGAGAAGTTCTAACCTTTGTCACCTCCACACAGCTGGCCAATCACGGTGTAAAGTGAGTGATTGTTGGTTTATAGGAAGTTAAAGGAATTGTCAGACACAGCCTCTTCAATTTGGACATTGAAAAGGTGTGTGGGGAGTGGGTTTCCGAAGCTATCTGACCATCCGACCATCAGTTCTGATGAAGTGAAGTGGTAGCTTAACCCAATGCAATATCTGTCTGGGTTCCTTTGAAAAATATTTAACTAAAACAGCACTAACAGACATTCATATTCACAGAAGCCCTCCTGTACCTGTATCTAGATTATAACCTATTAATGTGTACCCCTATTTCTGATTGGTAAAACAGGGCAAATATCTAGGAAGACAGTTGTGTGCAGCCAGGATGTTTTTTCTTTGTCGTATCAAGGAGGGAATGGAATGGTCTGTCATGGACAGGTCCTGAGGTTGTTTAGCTGCATGGGTTCAGACATACGTTAAATGCTAAACCTTGGAAGAGATGAGAAAAGTAATTGAATAAATGGAAGCAGATTGCATGATGCCATCAGCACAAACCACAGGCAACATGTAAGCATCTGACCTCTATTACATCCTCTGACATCAGCCCTGCCTAGCACACGGTGCTGCATATACCATCCTAAGCACACAAATACACGTTGACCAACCAAACAGGAAGGTACACAAAACACACCGACAGACGCCAAGACATAAAGAGTCTATGAAAGGAGGTAGACTTTTAATGTAGACCCAGAAAAAAGTCGAGGTGGGGCATTCAGGCATCTAGGGCAATCCCTCCACCTTACCCAAAGCATACACATACACACACAATACAAACATTCCCACACACAGACTATGCTATTCAATCATTTCCATTGATTCACATTAACTCAATCTGTGGTATAAGCTACACTATATCTTTGATAACTGATTGCTATCTGTTAGAGAAAAACATCAGCCAGAGGAAGAGAAACGAGGCAAACCCAAAGAAAACGCAGAGGGTGATATCAAAAACAACATTCAGTGCAATAAGAATACATGTAAGAAAAGCTGGGCCTCAAAACCACTAAAACATGAACTACTGTATGTGACGGTGCTGTATTCCAACCCAGGAAGACTTTATGATAGGGATAGGAGGAAAACACCAACACTGTATATTTGTAGCCCATGTTGAGTTGACAGAAGGATCAAGAGGTGAACACTCATTACTGTACCTGCCAGATAACGTCAGGATCAAAACAGAAAGGGGGGTTGGTGTTCTGCAATCACAAAACGGAAATACACGCCACTTAGAGACAAGCAACCACACAGACATCGTGGACACTGAAACAAACAGTGATGGACGTTACACACTCTAACACAGATACATCGATACTCAGCAACATAAACACAGGAGGGTCTTTAAAAAGCCACAGCGCAGGTAAACATCTCCTCCTCAACATCAACATCACCAAAAGAGGACCGTTCTCCTTCATATGTCTAATCCTTCTGGCAATGTTTGTTTGGCCGTTTCTAATTAAGGCAGTCAGATTTAATTGGGCCTCTTTCATGCATTTACAACACTGTGGGCATCCCAGGCTAGCACATGTGCAGTTTGTTAATAGGCAGACAAATCACAAAGTATGTGTGAAAAATAACTGTGGTTTTGCTGTAAAGGAACCACTTTTCGAACAAGCGTTTGCTGAACGAACTCTAAATGTGTGTGTGTGTGTGTGTGTGTGTGTGTGTGAGTGTGTGTGAGTGTGCGTGGGTGGGTGCGCACGCAGACACATGTGGAGTCAACTGCATTTTTCACAGCTCTAACGACTTCAAAGGGCTGAGATGAGAGTGAAAGCTTCCATATGTGACATTTGAAACAAATTGAATAAGTGCTCAACTCGGCATGGGCCAGTAATGGCCTTTACTTGGGCATGGCTGCCATACAGACACGAGGCAACAATAAGACAATGTTTCTTAGATTGTTTGTGCATGTATGTTTGTGTCTGCATTTAGATCCAGATCTACTACTGCTCGCAGTACAGCAGTATTCATCAATAATTAAAGTTGTGTTGGTGTGAAGCTGATATCAGACTGAACCAGACAACATGCTGCAACTGAAGAGCACTACACTGCTCAAGACCCAAGATCACAATATAATACTTTAATTTCTATCACAACACCTACCACAGTTTAAACTAGCTGTTTGGCAAACACATTCTCTGCAGCTGGTGTTATAAACAGTAAAAAAACAACATAATTTATGAAGCTGAGAACTGATCTATTACAGCAATAGACTCCCCATGAAGCACATGGATCTCGTTGATCCGCTGTAAATCCTACCTTCATATCAATGACAGTCTGCAGAGCCCTTGTCTTGGCCGGATCAGCCTGGAGCTGGTTCCGGCGATGAAGCTCCTGGGGAGGGACCCGGTAAAAATAAGCCTGGCGGCTCATCATCTTTAGCACTTTCTACCACCCACAGCTCCAGATAAGATACACTGATCAGTCTGACCAGCCCCAGTTTCTATCTATTTTTTACCACCTTTTTAATATCTTTTGTTAAATATAGCAAGGTTATCCTCTACTGTGCATCCTTAGAAATCCTTGTTTTGCAAGAAGAAAAAAAACTTTTCCTATGATCTCGAGACGGTCCCCGTTTGATCCTCTTCCGAGGACTTCTTTCCGTCTCTAGCTGCTGACTCTGGTGTCTATTTTCTCTGCTCTCTAGTCTTCTGTCTCTGTTTGTTAGTAGGTAGGAGACATACTCAGCTATAGGTCATATGAATCTGTCTCTATAATTCTCTCAGTCTCTATCTTTCTGTTTCTCACTTGTTATCTCTGTCTCTCTCGCAGATGTCTCTGGCATGCTAAAGCTCTTGCTTAGCAACACTTTCTGCCAGCTCATGCGCTACACTTCTTCTATCAATAATTAATGGTAGCTCTGACCTACAATTCAAGCTAATGGGAACACACATACACACAAACACTCATATCGTCACACAACAAGTTGAACGTACTTGTTGAACATAAAAACCTGTGAGTATGAGTATTCGAAACAAAGAATATTTTCAACTATACAGAGTCCTGCAATAAATTGAAAGCATTTCAAATTATATAATTAGAATTCAAAACTTGAGCTGAGATGCCAAACATCACCTTTACTGCTGCACTTTATTTAACCAGGGAGTATTGCTTTTGAAAGCAATGTTCTCTTTGTCACAAACTCCCTACTCACACCCACACAGCCACACACATTCACACCCATAAGCCTCCCAGGCCAACCACTGTCTGTTCTGCTGACCACCAAGTGGCTCCACTGGAGCCGTTTGGGGTTAGGGGCACCTCTGTTGTGGTAAAGAGGGAGTGGCCCTTGCTTAAGGGCACCTCGGTGGTGGCATACGCTGCTCTTTCAATCCCAGCCCAGAGGTATCTTTATTGAACCACAGGCTTGTGACCCACAGGCTCATCAAAGCTTCGGGCTACCACTTCCAGCTTCACAGAGGGTTAATTGCAGGACTATTGCACTGGATTGCACACTGCTGTAACGCATGCTGCGCCGAATGGAATTAAAAAAAGGGTTCATAGACTCAGCTGCAGGTGACAAAACATAGGCTTCATAACAAACAAATCTATTTACTGCAAGGTAGGTGAGAAGAGTGAGGACTGCCTGCCACTGCTGCATGATTATGGTATCGACAGCTGCTGGACAGGGACAAACGTGGATTTTCCCTCAATAGAGGTTGTAAAAATGCACATGGAATACCAATTGGGCTAGATAGGATCACAAAACCACAGACACGCACATACCCATGCAATGACTAAAGCCTAATGTATGTATATGTATATGTATATGTATATAATGTAGCAAATGAACAAGTTTGAATGACACTGAAAACTGCAGTACTATAACACCAATACTGGAAAAATGACAATCAGTGGGTAATGAAAAGCCATCAAATCAGACAGAAACCACATAGAGATTGGGTATTCATATCAAGGCAGTTCATCAGTCAGTCAGGGGATGTAAAAGACTAGAAAAGCATTAACAGACAAAAAGGGAGAGGCAACAGGTCACTATTATTTCCCATTCTTCCCAGTTCCCCCAGAAATGAGAGGTGACAAGGGCCTTATCCTCTTCAGTTGTGGATAAGGAGGGATTACTGCTGTCAGAGCATGCCTCCCACAGACTGGCATGCCCACTGCTGCCACAATCCTAATCTTCTACTCACCATATGTGTATTAATGTGTCAAAGTGAGGGTATGCTTGTCTTTTTGTCTCCCTGTGCTCATTCAAGTAAATATCCATCCCGCGGAGAGAGTGTCTGTAATAACTCCTTATCAACAAATGGTTAGAGTACAGTTAAGAGTACAATGGGGGAAATTAAGTCATGCAAGAGAGCATGTCATCAAAGACGGTCTTCTCTGCTCCACATGTGTCAGAGGACCGAGCATATGGAATGAATAGGATCAAACGTAACACTATAGCAATAAGTGCCGGCATCCTGAATGAAGGATACGGTCAAAAGGTTCAATTCTAGCCTAAAGGCAATGCTGTCATATGTGCCATGCGCAGACTAGAACATGCACAGATCCTACATGGAAACACACACACACACACACGCACACACACACACTCACACATACACACACACACACACACACACACACACACACACACACACACACACACACACACACATTCATCAATCACATTCCCATCCCTTATCCATCAGAGAGAAAAAGGAAACACATTTGCTTGCCACAAGTGTTAAAAATGTCCGTCTATCAGCTCAATGGCTTAAGAGAAGCAGTTTGAAAAGACAAAGGGAATATCAGAGGGAGAGCCTTGCAGAGAAACAGGGAGGGGGTGAGGAGAAGGTTTGAGGGGTGTAATTTTGTCCCGATAAACTTTTCCGCTCAAACATTCTGGGAGATCAACAGAGCGTGGTATGTGGTGCCCGGGGTGTGGTGGGGAGAAGGGAGCATTGGTGTGTGTGTTTGTGTGTGTGTGAGTGAGTGTTTGCTGGTGGTATAGTGGTACAGTGGTCTTCTAATGTTAGTTCAGAGGGGCTTCATTAGACGAGGCTGAAAGTATCACCAATCAAGAATTAAATCCTAAAAAGCCCCACCCAGGACAGGTTTTTCACCAATTACCACAACAGATAGCATATCGGTCAAGGGAGAAAGAAAGAGAGTGGGAAATGTTGATGGGCAGACAGACATACACAGACAGAAAGGCAGATGACTAAGGAGCGAGGAGAAGACGTGAAAATGTTGCAGCTGATGGGCTGGTGGCATGAGAAACTAAGCAAAAAGAAAAAGTTGGAAAGAGATTACAAAAAAGACAGATTTGCTGACATGAACTTCCACTTCTCCTCAACATGCTGGCACTGGAGAGTTTTAAAAAGCTTGCTACATTTCTGAAGTTTCATCAATGTCTGAGAGAGGATGCCAGGGCAGACAGAGAGGGCCTGCCAAAAACAGCAGCAGGACTTCTGAAGCAGTCATACTATAGAAAAACAGGGAAGCCATAAGTACTTTGCCCTTACGTTCTCAACACAAGAGCGACGCTACATTCTCAGTCGTACTGATCCAATACTGAGTGAGATGTCTTCATGTACAGTAGGGGCCCTGACTCTATCCAGTGCCCCTGAGGACCATAAGAAATCTGCAGTACGATATGTATGAAAGTAGATATGCCATCTCCAAAGTTAAAAATCTCACAGTGAGCGTGTGCATGTGTGTGTGCACGCCCTTGGCAGCAGGTCAGGGCTGGGCAGGAACAGACCAGTGGTGCAGCTGTTATTATTGGGTCTACAGGGACCTGGGGGCTGGGGAGAGACGATTAGGCCCAGATTTATGCCTCTCAGCATGTGTGTGTATGTATGTGTGTGCCATCACACATAACTTAACACGCAGTTAGTGCATGGAGTCGCCAAAGTAGTTAAATTCTGATAGAACACTGCCACTTTGTGGACATTACTAGTACTGCGAATATTATTGTATTTGCCAGTACACATTATATTATGTTTGATAAGAACTCAAACTACTACTTCTGCTTAATGCATGGCTTCCACACTATTATAACAAAAGATGCTGATGTTGAACATTTAAGTGTAATCAAGAGCCAAGTGAATAGGCTGACATTGATGTTCCAGTGTTTCTATGCCGGGGTCCGTGCAGCTAGGACAATGTGACAGTTGAATGATGGAGAGCTATAGCCATACATACTGCACACCAGCATATCAAACACAAATAAAGACAGACAGCTTGTTAAAGTAACTTAAAATCTACTATCTGTAAGAGTCCTGAGTGGTGCCACAGAAAGAGAAAGACAAATATATATACATATTTTTTTTTTTTTTTCTATTGACCCTTACTCAGTTATCTGATTAGCATCATAGGTTCATACATTTTCACAACCATGTCCTAAACCTTCCTTATATAAAATGTGTTTTTTATAATATAAACATTTAAGGTGATCATTTCTCTTTAAACCAGCAATGAATACCAAGAAAGGCCCCCATGCCAACCCTCAGCCATGTTTGAAGGATAAATAAAAGCAGAGGTGAACTGAAAATGGAGGCTTTTATTATCCCAGCTCAAGCTAAACAAGCTGGGTCATTTAAAGGAGAGTAATGGGCACAGTAATGAAAGGCAGTTGGGCTGGTTTCCTCTGGAGCTAATCAAAAGAACTAAAAGTAGTGCCCCCTAATAGAGGCAATAGCTGCACCACCATCACCGGCTTGCCTTCACTAACCATGACAAGTGCAAGCACAAGGCTAAATTACCAGTCTGACACACAAACAAAGAGAGGCCTTCACAGGAAGTAGGCTGCTTCTTATAAGTGCGTAGAGATCCTTCTATTAATCTGTATTCAGCCTAACCTTTAACACCCAAATTCCACACCGACTATAACTGCATGGAACTGTCAGACTAACTTGGCTATTCTTCACCACTATGCTGTAAACAACATTTAGAAAATGTTAATGTTTATAATATTACTTATGGATCTGTTAAACAAACCTCTTACCATCTGATGTACATATAATCCACACAATAAAATTACAACAACAAATAGCAATTCAAATAGCTTTACAGCATATGAACATTGAGTGTGGTACTACCTACAAATCAGTTTGTTTCACTTTTAAGCCAGGCTTTTAGTTTGGCTTAAAAACTGAATAATTCACTGTAGCTGTAATCAGTTCAGCCCTGTGTATGTGTGTGTGTTGGCGTCTGCATATGCTTGTATATATATATATACGTATATATGTATATATACGTATATATACACACATACAGAGACTCCATCACCCCATCTCAACCTCAGAGGAGAGGAGGCCAGAAGGACACGAAGGAAAAAAACGAAAGAACAACAATCGCCTCTCTTTTCAATCAGGGCGGTCAGAGTGTTTTTCCTCATTAATCATACATTAATATTCAGACAAACACAGCCTGTTTTTCTACCTAAGAAAAACACTCCCTTCTCCCATCTCTCCCTCTCCCCTCACCTCTCAGACCCAATCACCCCTCCTCCTCCATTACACCCACAGTATGTGTTAAGCTGTCAAGCAGTTAAAAATAGCACAGCACACAGAGTGTGTGTGAACAGGTACTCACCTCTTACACACACAGCATGGTTAGGTCCCATACATTACACACAGACACACACACATGCACAAGTACAAACATGCACAGCAGTGGTTGCATTAGCATGGGCTGAAACGCCCACGCTCCCCTCTGACAAAATCATCACAGTGACCAAACACCCGGCATGGGTGGATATCCCATCAGCCACCGGCAGCCCTGCGAGGGAGTGTCCTTGCTAGGAACGCTAAGCCGACAGGCCCCAGATGTGCACGCATGCTCACATACACAAACAGACAAACACACATACACACAATCATTCTGACTGGGCACGGCAGACATAGAAGCAGACAAACAACACATAGACAGAAAAACAAGAACATCATGGCACAAACAATAGCAAAGGCAGACATACAACACACACACACACACACACACACACACACACACACACACACACACACACAAAAAACACACACACACACACACACACACACACACACACACACACACACACGACAGGAGAGGTAGAGAAATTAAAGGCTAAGAAGATTTAGGAGTTAAAAATAAACAAGGCAGGAGTGAGGAGCACAGAGCAGAACACTACAAGCTCTCCTGGCAGAGAATATGGAGACGCCGGTGTTATACGACCACTCACTGGAGGGCTAGTAATTTTAAGTAGTCAATCAATAAAATTGAGTCTCTGAGGAAGACATAAAAAACAGGAAAGAGTGAGGTCTGAGCATACCAATACCAAGTACATTTGCTCATATTATAACCACTGATTTTTGATGGGCTGCAATTATTTTTTAATTCCACTGTACAAAAAGCTCAGTGCATGCCACATGGTGTAAAATAACTGCCAAATGCTATGAACAACGCACAAAAAAGGGGGCATACGAGAAACTGCCACCCAGGAACACACACACACACACACACACACACACACACACACACACACACACACACACACACACACACAAAAACAGACACACAAAAACAGACACACACACATACCAACTGAGTCAGATTGTAAAACTGTATGGCTGAACACAGGCTTAGAGCTCTCCGTATGTTAATCTGGCCCATTGATAAGACCTGCTGAGCTGCTTTCTGCTCCCACACTCTACATAATACAGACACACTCTTAGGCGCGCACACACACACACACACACTCACACACAAACAATTAAACATACGACATGAGAGTACGACATGGAAAAAATATATCATTGCAACCATTAATATAAATAACAATATCTCTTTGGTTTCAAAAATCACATGATATCTTAATGTTTTTGACTAGCCACCATGCACTACACTGTATGATGCTAAGTCTAATTCTACAACAATGGGTAAACTCATAGTGATTGCTCTGAATTGTTAATGGGCAACAAATCATGTAATATGAATCGCAATATAAAAAAACTGCCATGATCCTATCAAAGTGAAAGATGATAAATAATAATCGACATACTGCTCAGCCCTGCTGTTAAAATCACTTTGACACTAGATAAATAATTCAGACACATAAACATTTACCCCTGGGATGAAAAACACACCTCTCTGACATGCATGTTCTCCAGCTGCGCCTCTGCCTCCTGTGCCGCCATGGTTATGATGCCTGTCCGTTGCCCCCGACCCCAGTGTCCCTGACCTTGACCTTGGCTTTGGCCTTGACTTTGGCCTTGACTTTGGCCTTGACTTTGGCCTTGACTTTGGCCTTGGCCTTGAAGCATCTCCAGCAGCCTCTGGATGCTCTCGTCCCGGGCACCCAGCGTCTGTTTCTGAGAGTCAATTCTCATTTCCATCTCCTCCATGGTCTTCCTGAGCAGGAACAGCTCCTTGGCCTGCCGCTCATGCTCCGACTGCATCCGGAAGAAATTCTCCTCTGATGGATCCAGAGGGGAAGATGAAGAAAAGCCGTCACACCCAGGCACCAGGCAGGGGCTGCAGGGTCGGAGTGAACCAGAGCTGGGTGCTACCACCGGACCATGGCTGGGACTGAAGATGGGCTGATTTGGGCTGTTCCTCCGCCCAGGCTGAAGGGTGTTGGCTGGGCTGATTCTAATCGTAGCTGCTGCAGTGTTACAGCCATAACCAGGGCTGTGAATGATGACATCAGCTTCCTGTTGCCTCGGATTATAGGTGTTGGATGGGCTGGCTCTCGGGCTGTTCTTTGGTCCAGGACTGTGCAGGTTGCTGGGGCTTTGTCTGGGGCTGTGGCCAGGGCTGAGCCCCCCCCTGTGGTCCTGGTCCGTATGGAGTTCTCGATAAGAGCCAGAGTTCCCCTGCTGTCGCTGTTGTTGCAGGCGACTGTTCATCTCCCTGTGAGCCCTTAGCTCCTCCTGAAGCTCCTGAACTGTCAACGGAAGTTGCTACAGAGAGAGAGAACGATCAGGCGCCAAATGATTGGAAAAGCACACAACACACATGATGACAAACACATATAAAAAACTACATGTTGGGGGAACAAAAGACAGACCTTGTTTCTTCTGATATCCCCAGGCTGCAGCAGAGAGATGTAACATAAGAAAGACAGACACATGCATAAAGCCAAAATAGAAAGCAGATAGAACAAAATATATACCCTAAATATCAAACCACTATGTAGATAACTTTAAGCTGTTGATTGATGGTTACACCACCAGGGGGCGGTATTTCTTTTCACAACACAGGGAGACCACACAGAAGCAAAAGTGAGTTGGCTTTATTTGCAGAGTTCAATGTCAAAGGGGGAAAGGATGGGACAAAAGATGATGTTGTTCCAGGGGCCCAACTGTGTCACTTAATAATCAATTTAATAAATAAACTGACCAATAAATTAATTGGGGACATAATTAAGAAATTGGCAAACTAGTGGCCAGACAAATAAAACAGAATAATCAAAAAGTTCAGACCATAATAAATTACATTAGTAAGCAAAACTGTTGGAAAACTGTTTAAACAATGATTCATTTTTATCTATTGGTGAGTACATTTCCCACACTGTTTCTTGGCTGAATCATCATATTGAACAGAAAATTTTAAATGTCATGTGCACTATCTTAAAAACATTCCCTGTTACATTTAAAAGCCCTGGGAAGATTTTTGCCTTGAATTAATTTTTATGGGATTAACTTGAACAATTGATTATTAAGTGACACAAACAGGCTCCAGTAGAGTGTTGCTCTGGACAACAGCTATAACTTAAGCAACATTACTGCCATGACTGCAAAGTCATTCAGAATACAATATGCTAATTTACATCCACAGCTCTCAGCTTTCTTGACTTGCAAATGGAAATTCACTCTGTGGCTGAAACCATGGACACAGAGCATTCTTGTGATTGACTGAGCATGGTGAGAAAAGGCTGTAAGGAAATCAAACAAAAGGAAAAAACAGAAATCTTACTCAACAGAACACATGTGAAGGATTCATTGACACAAACACTTAATGGAAGTTAAATGTCTAATCTTTCCCTCTTTGTGGAGATATTACTAATTATTCCTCAAATTTTCTTACTCCACTGCTTGAGTCCAGAAGGTGGGGAGCGCCAAGGACACAGAGTTGAGATGTAGGAGGAAGACGAGGGTGAACACGGATAATCAATGCAACAAGATAGCACTGAATATTAAGTCAGTGTGGGTGGACAATCCTCTGCACAAACACACAACCAAGACTGTAGACACAAATACATATGTACAAGTGTACACACACACACACACACACACACACACACACACACACACACACACACACACACACACACACACACACACACACACACACACACACACACCAAACAAGCAGATGGTTAGGGGACAAGTCTGGTCATTGCAGCTGAGAGAAAAGGTGACACTTTATGCTAATAACAAAGTTCTCTTGTCAGACTGAACTCTTCCCAGAGTGTCTCAGAGGGCAAAAAACTGGAGAAATGGAGAGGAAAAAGGGGAGAAAAGTGATCATCTGGTGGATAGTGGTGATAAGAGAGTGAGGTGACGGCAGATAACAGTTACAATAACATTTTCTGCATGAGGTATAGATTTGCGTTCTCAAAATAAACAAGTACTTGAAAGAAAGTGGGCTTTTATCTGATTTTATATGATACGGCTGCAAACATTGAGAGAAACTTATGGTGAAAGCTGGGAGACAAAAAGGGGTTGGTATCAATTTAACGATGAATCATTACTGCCAACAGAGATGCAATAATTATCAGCTGGGCCTGAGCTAGCACTAGGTGTGTGTGTCTGTAAGAAAGCGTGAGGAGAGAGTGTAAGAGTAAACTGACTTACTTGGATACAGCAGCAACTGAATGACTACAAACACTAAAATTGGACACAACACTAGGGGGTGTATGTCACAACAGTTTTCAGTATAAACCTTTTATTGATCTTGCTACATATGCTGTTAATTTAGAGCCTTGTACAGAGTTTTATTTGTCTTATGGCGGCTTTTCCGATGCCTCTGTTCCCCAAGGTTTTAAATGATGATTAATAAAAATTAACAAATTCTTAGTTAGTATAAAACACAAGCAATCTCTACACCTATGCTTTCATTCTCATAAGGTCCATAAAGGGTTATGAGATCATATATCTACAGATAAGGTACTGTAAGTGGTTTAATTAGATAAACAAAAATAAAAGAAGAAAAGCATGATGGTAAAAAGACAGTAGAGTGTATTGCTGTGGTAGAGACAAATAAGCCAACAATTGAAGAAACAGTCATACACTAGTTGTATGTGTCTGTCGCCTGAAGGAGCAGAACAGAGACAAACACATCCATCTATCACAGACCGGGCCAAGTCGGGACAAGCCTGCAGATACACAGAGACAGGTAACATTGAGTGTCTCCATTTTAATGCTACAGACATCAGAATCTCAACATCAGTAGTCCTGCGGCAAACACATTTATTGTCTATAAACCTTACTGAAATCTCTTTGTAGGTGACAAAAGTAGTGTGTATCTTTTAATGTGTACCTATTTTAGCATACAATTTTGTTTGTTAAGGAAGCATTTTTGATAAACATTTATTTACCGCAACTTTATAAAGCTATACAGAAATGATTATTACTCTGTATACATTTTCAAATGTTCTGTTTTTATTATGTTTGGTTTTAAAATCAGAAGAAAGTCAGTGCATGTGTGGGTGTGTGTGTGTGTCACAGTGTCCTCACACTGTATGACAATGTGAGATGAAAAAGCTATAAATACAAATGCAGAGGTGGCTCCTTGGTTACAAGGGGGAGGAGTCCGATGGAAGAGCGCAGACATGATTAAAGTTTTTGCATGCTTGTGTGAGAGTGATGAAGAGCAAGAGAGAAACAAACAGAGTCAATAGAGACTGCACGAGCTGTATAGTACGAATACTTCTCTGAACAGGATGAAATATATCTTATACAGACTTTCAGGTATTTTCCTCCAGGGAAACACCTATTTCTCCCCACCATACAACCACAGACACACAAGGAAGTGAAATGCCACACAGACAAATGGAGAAACAGAGGGCTGCCAAAATAAGAAACCAAAAGATATATAATGAAAGAGCAGCTATATAGTAGCTATGCAGTGAGACGGACAGATGGCTAATGCCTCAGACTGAGTGGGACAGACTCCAGGGAGAGGTGGCGTAGGACAGACTGGTCACCGTCCCTTCAGGAGTAGCTGTGAGCTTTTTTCGAATCTGGCTAACACTTAAGAATGGCCACCGCTATGGCACGTTCCCATGGAAACACAGACAGCACTGAGCCTGGCAAACATCTTTACAAATGAACTGCACAGAAGCATTTTTATGCAACCTTGAAGACAGGAACAAAAGGTATGACGTGAGAGGTACGATGTGCGGAGGAGATTGACGGGTCAACACAAAAAGTGTGACGTGTGAGCGGACAAATCAAAGAGTTTTTTTTCAAAATAAGATTTCCAACGTTTATGACTTGATGTTACAGTGACTTACTGTTGAATACTGAAGGTGTTGAGCATTTGATGCAATAAACAGGCAGTGGATGAAACCGCTTGTGTTTTGCTCAAAGACATTTAGGTGGAAATACTGCATTTTTTAAACAAGCTCTTTAATTTGTCACTTTTTCTCACCTGCAAATCCTCTTGGTTAGTCCTGTACTGGTCCTTCAGAACTGAGGTCCGCACACCCTCCTCCCGCCTAACCCCCTTGTCTTTTTTCACATCTGGGCTCCAGAAGTTGACATTGTTCACGCTGGGGCCCGTCCTTCCATCCCTCCCTTCATCTAGTTCTCTCCTCAGGTTGTCATTCTCTCTCTGCAGACCCCTCAGCTGAGCCTGGAGATCAAACGTGGAAACATCTCCTCGCCCAGTCGAATCCAGTGCCTGCGCATGTCTCCCAGACTGGCACCGGAGACTGGAAGTCCCAGCAGGTTGCGAGGTTTGGTCTCCATAGGGGTCCGACGGGTGATGCAGCCCATAGGAGGTGATGTTTGGGCTGCTGCCCATGGCTGTTGTCCGGTTAGTGTAGGAGGAGCGGCTGGTGCTCCTGCCTAGTGTCATGGTGCCTTTTGGATAACCACCAGAGGGTTCCAAGGAATCCCGCTCACTGGGGTACATTGTGCCTGAAGTGGCATAGGCCGCACTCAAAGACTGGATGTTTTCCATAGACAGGGTTTTACCCCCCGGCGCTGTTGCTGAGCCACGAGTTACTCCTTTGTCTGCTGCTGTACCAGGTTTGATCTTCGAACCTGGCCTTGACACCGACCCTTGACTAACAGCCGATTTAGTCGCTGGTGCAGGCACACCCCCTGACACAGAGCCTGGTTCTAGCCCTGAGCGGGAGCCTGGTGCTGAGCTTACGGCCTGTTTGCCTTTCCCCTGTTTGGGGGATCTGGAAAAGCGTGAATGAGATGTGTTGCCATCAGTGTGCCCACTACTCTTTGAGCCAGCAGACAGCTTGCTCTGCGAGGGCTTGGCTCTGATGTTTAAAGGCATTTTTTTATATGGCAAAAGTCAACTTCTGAGGGGAAACTGTTAAGGTCAGGAATATTTTCATGTCCCTCTACAGAACCAGGATGAATAACGAGTTTGAGAATAAAGGCCGCCTCTCGGCCTCTCAGTTTTTACCTGTCCATCCCTGATTGTTTAGGGCTTGAGGCTTTTTTAGTCCTATCAGAAGAAAGTGGCACTGACTGTTGGCTAGAGGGCTTCCAGACACACAGGGCAGGGGTCTTGTGGTTTCAGCTACAGTGTAGGACATAATGGATTCTAGACAGGTAAAAAGGAACAAACATTGAGAGGATTTTAATGTCATATTAAAAAGAAATAAACAAGCAGAATTACTACATGGTTCATAGGCTGGTTATCTACTATACTATATACTATTGTACAGTTTATACACAGTTTCATACTGAAGGGTTAGGGTTACTATGCTTTCAGCAATATACTGTAGACATGTTTTTCTCCAAAAACCTTTTCTCTTTACGATATTCAGAACTTATCAAATGTCAAATGCTGTGTAAACATAACATAATCTAAAATAGACAGAATTATGATTTCAATCAGAAACTATCTCAAAACCAATTTTATGTTCACTAACCAGCCCTACAGTTTATGGTAAAACTAAATAATTAAGATCTTTTAGACTTAAAAGACCAAATATCATAATGTGTTGCACTGAATAATCCAGAGAACCAGTTACAGGCAGACATTTAGTACTTCACAACTATATTCTTGATTTAGTGCAGTGGTTTAGAAGCCTGCTCTTGGGCTAGCTTTTTTTTCTTTTTTCTTTTTAATCTTTCCCTGCTCAGGTGTGGCTGATCAAAAGCTGAAAGGCACCAGCTCACCTCTGCCTCCGCTAATCAGATGTGTGCAGAGCTTTGGAGATGGGCAATGAGCAAGACTGTGGGTCCACAGCAGCAGGGCTGGGGACCACTGATGACCACCAGTTTTCTCACTATTACTACAGCACTCTGTAACGCTTTCTCCTCCTTATTTGTGGTTGTGAGAGTGACGAGATAAATGTCATTAGGTGTGTAGCATACTACAAGATTCTTCCCTCATGATGTATAAAACACCTCACACAGCCACAGTCACCGCAGTAGATGGTGAAGGAAGGAAAAAAAAAGGAGTGACCAGCTTGACAAATTCAGCACCATGGACAGCACTCAATCTGCCATTATAACACATGGACTCTAACGCCTGCTCAAGGCTAAAGGAAACAGGGACAAAATAATGTAATTGGCTATGGCCATGGCAGATTGCAAAGGGAATTGGAAGACCAGTCTGTATTATCTGCAATCCCTCTGGGGCACTTCCAAAGCTCATCGTTAGACTTTATCAGGGCTGAAGACATACCGGTACCTTAGGCTTCGAATAAAAATAGGCCCTTCGGAATTTAGGCTAAATCATAATTGGAAAGTACAGCATAATAAAACTGTGCCCATAATAGGATAAAATCACTATAGAAAATATTATACTATGTGTCTATACCATAAACAATATTCGGTAATTTGTTGTCTTTGAAGCAAATAGCTGTACAAAAAAAAATGTCCTCAGGAAATCAAAGTAAGCACAACCCAGTCCATGATGGACCAGATATTGGGGACTGTCTGTAAAGAGGAGGCAAATCCAAATCATAATCCCTCCTCTAATCCAAGAGGATTGGGTGCTGGGAGTCACTGCACAGGATGCAACTGAGAGATTGGTTAAATCTACTTGTCAGTCATAACATAGCTGTCAATCCCTTATCCATCATTGTTTGAGACAATGAATTTAGCCTATATATATGTGTGTGTGTGTGCCTGCAATGGAAGCACCAATCCCGGGAATACTTTTGACACAACAACTGTGCATTTATTTACCGTGAAAACTCAATGGCGATGAATCAAATTAAATCAAAAAGACTTTGAACTGTGTCTCACACAAACATGTTAGCTTGCTACTACTGACGCTTTGGCTACAGATACCAGACATCAATGGCATTAACATGGAAGTCTCACAACTGGCCGGCACGCTCCAAGTTTAGGCAGCTGTATGGCTACTTGTCAAACCACACTGACAAAGAAAGAAATATTGAATAATAAATTGTAACATAAAGTAACAAACAGGAAAACGCTTCACTTCCTACCGGCCTCAAACCTGTGCACTTACTTCTGAGTTGGTAGCCAGCTGTTGCCGAGAAGAGAAAACTCGAGTCACCACCCAAACGAACAATAGCGTGATTTTCATGATAACATTTGTCCATACGAGCCCCTCTCACACAGTTCAACATGCTGCCCACCTAACGAACAAACTATGAAGTTGACCGCATTGCATTTCCACGGGTGGCACGAGTAAAACGGTGGTTGGGCATGTGACTGACACAGCACCGGACACGGACGCCCGGACAACTCTACTACGACCACGGCATGGAGGATTAGTTTTTTTTTTTTTTTTTTTGCTCATATGCACACGGCTACATGAGTTCGAGCTAGTACCTTACATAATAATTAAGCTGCCACACAAACTGGAAGCACAGAGTTTCATTTGTTTAAATAATGTTGCCAAATGGTGCCACGAAACCCAGGTGTGCACGCGACGTGTTGGGTGCTCCAGCTTACCGGACAGGCACCTCTCCATCACCGCCACCGCGAAGTCCCGACCGAAACCTGTCCGACCTCGGCGCAGGCTCCATGATCTCATCGGCTCAGCTCTCTTATGACCTGTCCTGCCATCGGGTCCTCGTGGGCGCGCTCTCCCAAGCTGGCGCGTGCGCGACCTACGCGCGCGGCGTGATGGGGCAGCACGAACAGCAATGATTGGAGGTTTTCTTTTTTTCTTTTCATTTTTCATACACCTACATGAGAGTCAGTTGGGTTGGGCATGGCACTTGCAAGGTCTTAAACCCGAATTAAAAAAGATAAAAGATAAAATAAAAAATGAAGTAAATAAACTAATGGAATTGCATTCACACCAGACATAAAATACAAATACCCTGACAGTCATCACTCATGTAATCCCATGAAAGTGAGTTTATTTATTATATCAGATGTAGACAGTGGCGGACTCTGTCGGTTTGAGAGGCAGGGGTGGAAAAAGGAAGGACACCCTAGAGGGCAAGACACCTAACCTAAAATGACACCACGTGATTGAACTGTGGACCTGTTACTTATTTTAAGAAGTTTACTGCAGCTGCACAGTTAACTGTCCATTCAGTCAATGTAACTTGCCCAGAAAATGAGTAAGAATAGATATGTTTGTGTCAGAGGTTTCACTCTCAGAAATGATGTGGTACAGTTTGTCAGATGGAAAAAAATAATAATTTCGATACCAGCCCGCAGGCTAAAATAGGTGTGTCTGTGCAGGAGGTCTGGTTGTTGTATGAATATGTTTCATATGTTTTATACTTTCAATATTTCTTCTTGGCCAGCATCCTGCAGAATGACTTTAGTAAAGCTTCCTTGCTTTCTTATATGATATTAGCAAATTAGTCTAGCTGTTCCAAGTTTCCCTCTTCAACTTGAAACTGTTGAAGAGGAAACTGAGAAATAACAGGTGACTCTGCTTGCTTTAGGTGGCTGCAGCAGGTGAAGATGTTCGTCATGTGTAACCTGTAAGACACAATCATCAGTTTCATTTCCTCAAGTTACAAAAAGAGAAGTGAAAATGTGAAATTGGGGATGGGGGTGTCTTTTGTACAGGCACGCTACAGTACTCTTGTGTAATACTTATGAAATCAAGCTACTCGAGTGAAATCAAGTGAAGTTTATTTGTATAGTCAAACATCAGTGCATGTCTATGTACAATGTAGAGTGACTCAGTTTACTTTGCAGCCCACAATAGAGACATGTCCCTATGCAGCATGAGCTCTCTGAAGACAAGCATTAATTCACTAAAAAGAATGAAAAAAACAGACACAGGAATGGAAATTTAAAGAATCAACACCAAATTCCATCAGATAAAATAGAACACAATCAGAACAAAAAAGGAAAATATTCACAAAAAATTGTAGTCACATCAAACATCATTATGCATGTAACACCATTAAGGGTAGGGTAGGTTTGGCAAAATTAGGTAATGTGAAGATAGCAAAATTCTTAATTACAAGGACTTCTTTCACCAAAGTGCTATCAGCCGTTAAGAGGTCGTCATAAAAAACTTTCACTCATGTTGTTGTCATAAAACTTGAGGTTATCTGACGACAATGCCATTCTCACTTGGTTCCAGAAAAGGGGCTGAGCCATTGGGTTTCTTGGCCAGGACAGGACAGACTTTCTGCACAACCTTTTCCTCAGCTGAAGGTACTTCAGTTTGGGAAACATCTCGTCCAACAGAACCAGCACAGCTGCATCCACCTTGTTTGGGTAAAATTTAGAGATCATTTAGTGTTGTGAAACCATGGCAACGACACAGAAAGGGTAAGATTCACACCCACAAAATCCACATGAAACTATATAAAAAAGTTACTTTTACTGACCTTCTCATCCAGAAGGCGCTGCTGAACCATGAAGAAAGCCTGGCGGATCACACCATTCACTGTCTCACTACCAGTTGCACCACTGGACAGCACAAACACTGTCTTCACACTGTTGTACACAGCATTATGTAGATTTTCAATACATGAAAGCCCAGGAATCCAGTCCCTCTCTTCCAAACAGAGACAAAACCTCCTGTGACCAGAGTTCTCAAGATTGTCAGTTAACTCATTGTAGACCCAATCCCTCACAGCTTGGTTCTCTGTGTCAAACACCACAAAAGCATCGTAGTGTTGACGGGAATCACTACCAGCCAGCACGGAGTAGCCCTTATGTCCTGCCCAAAGTACCTGTAAGCAATACCACAGATCCCAGCCATAGAGATGCTTCAGTAGGGGCAGAACAGTGAACATCACAACCAAAAAGGAACAGATGAGGGAGGCTAAGCTACCATATATATCCTGGCAGGAACGCTGGTCCATAGACAGTATACTGTTGCCCTGTTGGGACTCTGGGTATTCACAGTGTACATGTGTGGTGAGATAAGGAATCTCTACCGGAGTAGTACGCAAGAAGTCGGCAAACCAAGATGTATCGCAGTCACATTTAAAGGGGTTGGCATGCAGGGTGAGTTTCTGAAGAGCACTACCATTTTGAAAAGGGGTAGGGAGAAACTGATGGTTCAACTCTTTGATCTGATTGTGGCTGAGGTACAAATATTGCAAGTATTTTGCTTTACTAAAGAAATCCACAGGAATAGAACTAATGCGATTGTGACTGAGGTCCAAAAGAGAAAAATAGGCTCCAAACTCTATGACTTTATGAGGCAAATAAGTGAGTACGTTTTGACTGAGGTCCAGGTGAGTTAAATTGCTGAGTGCTGAGATGTTTTGCCATGGGAAATAGTACAGCTGATTACTGCTGATTCTGAGGGTCTTAATACTTCCTGGGAGGTTACACAGCAGTTCTGGTGTGATCGACCTCAGTTCGTTGTTAGAGATGTCCAGGTAGGTGAGGTTTGTCAGGTTTTGGAAGAAATGAGTGTACTTGTTGTTGTCCCACATAATGTCCAGGCGATTTCCGTAGAAGTAGAGGTACTTCAAAGAGCTGCTGATCAACCTTTGATCTATTCGCATCCCAATGCCGTTGTTAGCCAGACTGAGGACTTCCAAGTTAGTCAGATTTTGAATGAACTCTAAACGATGGCCCATGCCCCTCATTTTGAAGTGAAAGTCATTGTTACTAACATCTAAAAGCTTAAGAGTTGTTTTAAGCTCACTGAAAGCATTGTTATAGTAAAAATCAAGTCTATTGTATGATAAATTAAGAAAAACTAAATGTTTCATGCCATCGAACAGCCCTTTCTGCAATGCCTGACTCATGTAATTGAAGGAAAGGTCTAAACAAACAGCATTTTCCATGCCAACAAACACCTCTTTTTTAAGAGACAGAATGTCATTTTGAGACAAGTCCAATGTCAGGTTATGGTGGCAGAATTTTTTCCATAGCGATGATGGAAATTGTGGCAGGTCATCTTCCAATATTTCCTGCCTGTTTAACTGGTCAGATTTCCAAATGTCACTTGTCACAGGTGTGACTTCTCTATCTATTAACATAAGGGGTAGCGGAACATTATGTGAATACATGTTCGGTTGCTGACAGCTTCCCTGTGCCACAACCTCTGATGATGGACTCAAACAGCATGGAAGGAAATTAAGCATGTTTTGGGAGAGGTCAACATTGATGAGAGATGGTAACTGTTTCAGAGCTTTCAAGTTACAAGTATTGATGAAGTTCATTCGAAGTTCTAGTTTTTTTAGGTTTTGAAGTTTGGACAGAACATTAAAACTCTCGTCTGGAAGCATGTGGAAAAAGTTACCACTCAGAAGAAGATATTGTAGACCAGATATATTGCCAATATGTGGGGAGAGGATCAGTTTCTTAAATGTCTTCAGCGGTTCATAGTTATAGATAAGGCTAATCCAAGTGAGGCCCTTCAGCTCTGCAAAGAAGGTGCCATTACGTATAGCATATGCCAGGAGGTTGTCAGAGAGGTCCAATCTCTGTAAATTCTTCAAAGGTCGGAAAAGACCCTCTGGAAATGTTTTCAGAGAGTTCCCTCTCAAGCTTAAGAAGGTGATGGAGCTGTTCTCAACATAGAATGACTTTGGATGTAGGAGTAGAGGGAGATTTTGTGGGCAAGGAAAGCAGGGCCTGGCTGCATGGTCACAACGCTGACAATTCCACTCCAAATTCAAAAATTTCAATTTAGTAAGATTGGCAAATGCTCCTTCCAAAACCTCTGTGATTGTGTTCTCTCTTAAATCCAGGCTCTCCAGTGAGGGTGGCAACCCTTTAGGGATAGCTGTCAAATTATTATACCCCAACGTAAGATTTTTGAGTTTAGGGAGCTCTCTGAAAACCTTCTCACTGATATTAACAGACTGGTTGCAAGGGTTTGCATAAAAACAGTTCTTGGAGAGGAAGAGCTCTTCGAGATGAGGAGTTTTTAGAGGGTAGATAATGGTGAAGATGCAATTATTCTGTAGATCAAGAACCTTCAGGCTTTCTGGTAACCAGGGAATAGAGGTGAGGCTGTTTCCTGACAGGTACAAAAATTGAAGCTTCAATAGCCCCTTGAAGGCATAATATCGGATCTTCATCTTGCATGAGCGGTTTTCCAAAGTGCTCTGGTGATCTGGCGGACAATTCCCCATCATTTTCAGAGTCTTAAGATTTGGGAGACCTGATAAAGTATTTAGCTCCACTTGCTGTATCTTAGTCTGACTTAAATTAAGTGTTACTACAGTAGTAGACTTGATGTAGACACGCTTGAGTGGTCTCTGGTGGCAGTCCACTGCGGTGTTATTCTGATCCGTGTCACATGGGAAGAACTTAGTATTTATGGTCCTCACTAATGGAATAAC